CATGAAGACAATGACTATTTTATTGTAATGATATAAATAATATTACTTTCCCTCATATACTAGACAAAAACAAAATATAACATACAGTGTACTTTTAGAACATTAAAATGACCAAAATTTACAATGTTTTTCCAATATAAATCTATTCATACTTATGTACGATTTAGAAATATGTTACATGCACCAAAGAAGCAAGCACAAACAGATCACACTTTCTTAATTCTTACAAAAATAAGCTTACTTGATGTTTATATGATTTTCCTTGAACTGGTATGTACTGAAAAATTCCCTTACATTAGCATGAAGGAGCTACATTATCTTCATGAAAGCACATTAAGTTCTGTCGCTACTTTACCTGAATGACCACTAAATAACTGTCCAAATCAGAAATGAAATGTGGGAATTCTTGTTTTATTCCAGATATCAGAGGAAATACTTTCAGGTTTTCCCTATTTATTATAATTTTTACTATAGCTTTAACTATATGACCTTTACTATTGATTATTATTCTAGTTCAGTGTATGTATGATGTGTGTGTATGTGAGCATATGCCAAGCTATGTGCATAGAGGTTAGAAGGTCACACTGTGGAGTTGGTTCCTCATTCTATCTTTATAAAGATTTCAGTGATCAAACTCAGTCTATCCAGCTTGCATAGTGAGCACCTTGGCTGCTGGGCCAATTTTCCTGTCCAGCCTTTCTTATTTTGAGGTATGACCAATTCATTCTCAGTTTTTTTCAGTCCTTTATTATAAAGGCTCTTATTCAATAAAATGCTCAAAGTGGTAATAAGAAATAAGACAAGACAAACACATAAAAAGAGCAAATAGGAAAGGAAGACATGAATCAATACTTATTTGTAGACTACATGATTCTATATTAACAAGATCCTATAGATTCTAAAAGAAATACCTTGATCTAATAAACACTTTCAGGAAAGTTCCAGACACAAAACAAACATATAAAAAGATAACTAGCTTTCATCTATATAAATAATGAATTCATGAGGAAGAAATTAGGATGACTAAACCATTTATAATATCTGTAAAAAGAACTAGAAATAAACCTAACCAAAAAAGTGAAAATCATCCACAATGAAAACTTTAAGTCACTGGAAAAAGAAATTCAAGAAAATATTAGATAATGGAGTGATCTTCCACTCTCTTGGATTGGCATAATTAATATCAGAAAAATCAGCTTTATCAAAAATAATCTACAGATGAAATTATATTCCCATTTTAATTCCAGTGACATTATTCACTGAACTAGAAAAAAATCCAAAAATTCATATGGAAACAAAAAAAAAATTACAAATAGCCAAAGCAATCCTAAGGAGAAACGTAACAGCTGAAGGTATCACAACACCAGACTTTAAATTATACTTAGAGCTATGGTCACAAACACAGTCTGGACCCTGCATAAAAACATTTACATATATATATATATACTAATATAACAGAAAAGGGGCTTGAGAATAAACTGACATGACTGTAATCACCTAAATTTTTACAAAGGTGCCAAAGCATACACTGTGGGACAGATAGTCCATTTAACAAATAGCCCTGGAAAAGCTGAGTATCCAACTGTAGAAGAATAAACTCAGATCCACAGCCAATTTTATCTTTTACAATGATCAACTCAAATTATGATACGCTGAAACAATAGGAAGAAATTTTAGGGGATGCACTTTAATGTTTAGGTACAGGCAGGAACTTTTTGAATAGGACTTCAATAACACAGGAGATAGCACGGAGAATTACTACATGGAATTAAAAAGTTTCTACATTCACTTTTATCTAGAGGGTAATTAACAGTGATCTAGATGGACTTAAAGCCCTCTCAATGAGAGGGAATTCTTGTGTGGCATTGTTAATATAGACAAATATATATGGCTGGAGAGGTTGTATATCCTAGAGAAAAACCCTATCTCTGTCATATCTCCAAAAATATGACATTTCTTATTGTATGATAAATATGAATCCCTATACTTATAAAAAGTAGGCCTTACAACATTCATCAAAGAAGCTTTCTTTTTACAACAGATGGAAGCTATTACAAAGTTCCACAACTGGTCACACACAGATAATATATGTCTGAGAGATTTCCGACCCTAAGTGGCACATCTACAATGCTAGCTCTACACTTGAGGCTCACAGAACATAGCAGAACAGGGGGTAGAGAGAATACTAATGCCTCCCTCAACTCTCATGAGAGAAGCTTCCTCATAAAACAGAGTTTGATGCACACTGAAGGCTACAACTGGCCCAGGCGTAGTGAATAATGACTACAAAGTGTGTGTCCATGAACAGAATTCCTGTATTAAACCTCACCCGCCCATAGCTCATAGAACATTGTTAAAGGAAGGGGTTGGAAATTGTAAGAGCCAGGGTTAGAGCACGAACATCAGGAAATATGATTTCAGGCCTCTGGGAACTTATTCATATGAACTGGCAGCAATGGGACAGCATGCACAAGACCCATGCCCGACTACAATCAGACACAAACTATGTATAGAACTTAGAAAATTAGCAGCAGGCCCCAATATTAGATGAGGAACTATTGGCAACTAATCACTGTGAGGTGAAGGAGAACTGATTATCTTTATGGAGTGATTCTAGATAGACTGACTCCAGAGGAAGAACTTGCACCAAGGAATGTCTTGGCACAATTGCTTCACCAAATAGGCCTTATCATATATGAAAAAAAGATATAACATGTGGAGGGGGAGATCTATAAGTGGCTTGATGGGGAAGGAGTTTAAAGTTGATTAAGATCCCTTGTATGAAATGAACAAGAACTCAATGAAAATATAAATTAAAAAGTTTCTGCACAGCAAAAAAAATTAAAAACAAACAAAAAACTATCAGCAGAAGAAAAAGTTTACAGAATGGGAGAAAACCTTTGCCAGCTATACATCACATAGTTGTCTAACATACAGAGTTTATAAAGACTTGCTAACATTAAACACACAGTAAAAACAAAACTGCTAATCAACAAAGAGCTAATGAAATGAACTGACAGTTCTTAAAAGAAACACAAATGACCAAATAACATTTTTAAAATGGGCTCAGCATTTTTAAAAACAAATTTAAAGTGTTCTAATGTGTCTTCTCACCTCACCACAGTCAGATTAGCTATCATCAAGATATCTGACAACAAATGCTGGTGAGGATGTGGGGAAAGAGGAATACTTACTGCTGGTGGGACTGACAACTAGTGCAACCATTTTGGAAACCAGTACAGAGATTCCTCCAAAATTTTAAAGCAGCAATACCATCTAGCCAGCTATACCACTCCTGGGAAAATACGCAAAGGCTCTTTATTCTTCTGCAGAGATATTTCACCTCTATATTCATCAATGCTCTATTCCTGATCAGGATGTCATGGAACCAGCCTAGATGAATAAACCATGAAAATATGGCACATATGCAGAGTATAATTTTAGTCAGCAGTAAAAGAAAATTAAATCATGAAATTTTCAGGAAAATAAATTCAACTTCAGAGTATCATATTAATAGAGGTGACCCAACATCAGAAAGACCAAAAACCATGTTATATCTCATAGCTTGATTGTAATTTGTAATGTGTATATGTATGAATATAAGTGGGTGATAGTGTTAGTAAAGGCCTAAAAACTGGAAAGGAGACAGAGGGTAAAGAGAATCATCAAAGATAGTGGGTGGGACAGTACAAAGGAAAACATTTGACCTGAAAGCACAAAGATGACAGGGCTACCCTGGAAGAAAAGTGGGCCTGAGGGAGGGGAAGGGGATGGCGCAAGACAAGGGGAAGGAGAATCAACTACAACACACTCAGCTTGAAGATGCCTTTATAATAGTTATTACTTTGTATGCTAATTTTAAAAATAAAAGTAATGAAATATGATTTTTCATTTCTTTATATTTATTATCAATATTAATGTGGTCATTTAAATGTACTTCATTATTAACAATTTGAGCTATAATTTCAAAGACAGTATATATGATTCTTTCAATTCATAATATTGGAATAATATATATTTTCCTTTATTTGTATTATATCATGGTTCAAAAATAACAATTAAAAAAAATTATTCCTCAAGAAGTGATTCTAAATAGGCTAAGTAGACTCAATAAAAACAGATGTGACAAAATTTATTCCTCCTTACAGCTTTGACTACATTAGGTTTCAATTAATAAAAATGTAGTTATATGTTCAAATAATCTGCCTAAATAAAAAATGTCTTTAGGGACTGGAGAGGAGGTTCAGCAGTTAAGAACAATGGCTGTTCTTGCAGAAGACCCGGGTTTGAATCCCAGCACCAACATGGCAACTAGCAACTGTTTGTAACTCCAGTCCCAGGGGATCTGACAGCCTCTTCTGTCCTCCACGGGCACTGCAGGACACAGGTGCACTTACCTACATGCAGACAATACACACATACACATAAAATAAAATATTTTAAAAAGCATATTTATAAATCATGTTTTAAACCTGAAACTGAGTGAAATAGTTTTTACATTTGTTCACTATTGGCAGAAGCACGTGAATTAACAGTTCACCAAATCTCATTAGAGGATGATGCAGCCCCAGCACATGATGATTTCAGTAGTTCTGATGAAGAGGAAAGTAAGTATTAGAGGAATGATAGACTGTTGGTTTATCATGTAGATTTCACGAATTAATACACTGAGGTTTTATTCGTCATTTGTACTGAATGACACGTAGCAATGAGGCAAATGAAATATTCAACATCAGAAGTTCTCACACTGAGAAAAGTAAATATTAAAAATACTTGTTGGGGCTGGAGAGATGGCTCAGTGGTTAAGAGCACTGGCTGCTCTTGCAGAGGACCTGGGGTTGATTCCTAATACCCACGTGGTGGCTAACAATCCATAACTCCAGTTTCAGTGAATCCGACATCCTCTTTTGACATCCATGGGCATTGTAAGACATGGATGCACTTTCCTACATGCCGGCAATACACTCAAATACATAAAATTTAAAAATAACGATAAATAAAACCCCTGACAACGGGCAAAGCTGCGACTCATTGGTGGTGGTGTTCTTCTATCAGTCAGGGGCAGAGCAGATGGTGTTTTTTGTTCATCCTGGCTTGATGACTGGTTCGGTGGCCAAAGCTGTTTCATGCCTAACAAAAATAATAAATAATAAATAAATAAATAAATAAGAAATATTGAAAACCACCTATTATTAGTCACCTCAATCATAACTGGAAAAAGACATATATAAACATGCCAATTATGAGACAAATATAAATAAAATAAACCTCATCAATCAGCATTGAATAAAATTAAAATTTTTTCATGACCTTTTCTAGATATTGATATACTTGATCTGTTTCCTGTAACCTATCTCTTCTGACCTTTTTCTATTTCTGGTGTTATTTCTTTTCTCATGCTGTCTTCCTCCCTCCCTCCCTCTCTCTTTCCTTTCTCTCCCTCCTTTCCTCCCTCCTCCTTCCTTCCCTTTAGTTCTCTCTCTCTCTCTCTCTCTCTCTCTCTCTCTCTCTCTCTCTCTCTCTCCCTCTCACCCTCACATTTTTTCACAGTGCCTCACCACCTACATAGCACAGGTTAGACTGGAATTCACAATCCATCTGCCTCAGCTTCTACAGTATTAGAATTATACCTATCACATCTGGCTTCTTTTGTATATTTTTATCATTTTATTAATGGATCAACTTATATGTGACTAAATGATATTTTAAAAACTGATTTATGTGATCTTGAATTTGTTTATGTTCAGAAAGGAAGTAATTTTTATTAATCCATTATAAAAACATGTGTGAGATTTTAACTCAATACTTTCATTGCTTATTTTTCATGTGAAATTAATTTTCTTGTGGCTTTAGAATGAGATTTTAAAAACAGTCATTCAGAGTAAAGAGAACACCATCTTCTGCCATTACATGTTTTGATGTGGTGTTTCAAAACATAGTCTCTGGTCTTTCTAATTTTCTAGCTTTTTTGTCCTCATTTTTTATTTTCTGAATACTCTCCCCTTGTTTTCTGCCTAACACTTTCTCTTTATCAATGACTCTTGTCCTAGAAAGGGCTTTAGTTCAATCTCACAATATGGGGGCTACACAGCCTCAGCTTGGCTCCAACTCTTGCAGTTTTGGCTATCAGATGCAGCTCCAAGAGCAACACCCCCTCACCCCCCACCCCGTTCTCTACCTGGGGTCCCTGTATTTCTCTTCAGTGAAGAACATTCACTTCACTCTTTACTTTCTTCACCGACATGTCCACAGGCTATTTATTTGTTCCCATCATTCCCAGTTTGGGTGAACTGTCCCAAAGGAACCATGTATTCAGAAACTCAAGCACTGTGCTATCTATCTAGAGGTGATGCAAAGTTCGAGGTGGGGCCTACTGACAGGTATTCTAGTTACTGGAGAAGTACATTTCCTTTAACGAAGCTGTGGGACGCTGAACTTCTTTTCCTTTTTGCTGTCCATAAGGGACATTAGTGGTCCCATCAGGGGCCCCGAAGCATCAAGGATAGCCACGATTGACATTGATTTGATTTCTGCAATTATGAGCAAACCCGAACATTTTCCCTTTAGAAACGAATTGTATTGGGTATTTTATTACAGTTTTGGAGAGCTTTCTCCTTTATTGTTGTCAGCGTCTCTAAGTCCAGTTTTTAACATTATCGTTCGGCTTTTTGTTTTTGTTTTTGTTGTTGTTTGTTTGTTTGTTTGCTTGCTTGTCTGTTTGTATTTAAGACAGGGTCTCTTGGTAGCCCCAGTTAGTTTGGAATTTGCTATGTAGAACAGGCTGAACTCGATCTCACAGAGACCCACCGGCCTCTGCCTCCCCAGTTCTGGGATTAAAGGCTTGTGCCACCACATCTGATTTAGGTGAAAACTGTACAGAAACAGTTGCAATGATCTTCTCAGAAAATATTTACCAAATTTTTAAAATTATATAATTGTAGTGATTGTTTTTCTATTAAGTTGTTACCAACATCATTTCTGTGCCTTAATTATATTTTTTGAAACTATATTTTAAACTACGTATTGAAAAATCTGATTATTTTGTATTATCTTTGTGTGTTCACAAATATTCAATTCTTTCCATCTTTATTCACATTTTGTAAGAAAGTACATTTATAGTTTTCCACTGGTTTATGCATCTTCTAAATTAAGAAATGTTTATGCTACTATTTGCCTTTCAGTAAATAATAGAACACAGAGAAAATTATATCTTTATTATATTTTTCATTTATATTTTACATTCATTCAGAATGTAGATATCATGTTGCATTCTTCAGGATTATTTACAAATTGTTGTCTCTATTAAAATTTTATTAAGAATCTTGACTTTCTTTCCAAAGAGTGAATCTCTCATTCATGTGTATTGTTTTGTTGCCTTCTCTTTATATGCTTTAATTCCTTTTTTGCCTCATAAAATTAACTTGTTCAAAATAATTTCATCCTTTTCTAATTGTTTTAAGACTTTGCAAATATATATGAAAATTCCTTTTTAATTTTTAGGCATGGTAATATTTCAAAATATTAATTTTAGTAAAAGACTTTGGCTTTTTAATATTTATATAAAGCAAAATAAAAAGATCAAAATTTCATGAACTTTTAAGTGTCTTTTTGATTTCGACTGCCCAGGCTGTCTGTAACTCCTTGGGTGCACATTGTCCTCCCTTCTTAGCCTCCCAAGTAGCTGGGAGTAGCTGGCAATGCAACTGTGTGCCACCAGGCCACCTAGTCAAATACTTATATTAAAACATGTAATTCAATTAATATTGTGTTCAATTAAAAAATCATAAAGGATAACAAGTTACATAAACTTCTGTGATATTTGGCAAAGAAACAATGTGTCACAAACATATTGCTTTTATAAGAGAAGCACTTAGAATGGGAAAGAGTTATTCAAGAGCTTTAAATGCTGTATTTCGGAGATGTCAAATAAGTAGATGATTTCATTTTCCCTTTTCAGTTGCTTCTATGAAGTAATGAGGGTACAGAAAACTCACTATTATTCTTTTGTGAAATTGACACTGCTCATCTTAAATGCTGCTTCAAAAACCTCCATCAGAGCTCGCATAAATTATAGAGCACTAGTGTTTGAAGATATGAAATTAGAACTCAGGAATTCCTCGAATTTAATTTTAAACTCAGTGCTCCCAGATGCACATCTTTCTGAACAGTCCATTAATCAGAAAAGCTAGAAACTATTCATCATACTTTAGTGTAACAATCCTTTCATATGTTCCTCTCTTTGTTGGGCTATACATTTTGAAAATTGCTTACTCTGGGGCATTTTCTCCATTTTAAGATAAAATATCATGCCATCAACGAAAAATCTCCTCTATAATGATCTGAAAATGTGCTGTTCATTTTTTAAAACATTCTGGCAAGCTGACAAGATCAAATAGTCACCATGTGAATCATCACAAGCTTGAAAGACTTGATTATTAAAACATGATTTCATCTTTAGACAATTCATCCCAATATATATGAAAAAATAATTTTTCATGATAGATAAATTACAATGCTAAGGGAAAGATTTTTTTAATGCTTCTAGTAGTCATGACCTTTTAGGCTTTGAAGTTAGCACGAGAGTGGGAGCAATGATTACATAAGCTAAGATGCAAAAGAAGGTCTTCTTTTGACTGTGGGACTTGCACGATACAAGAGGAGGATCTTCCAGTGTATAACTTATCTGTGCTACAATCCTGACTGTTTTAACTTCCTTCTCCTAGGACTCCAAAATCCAGTAAAAAACCAAACTGGGACTGGAGAGATGACATGGCAGTTAAGAGCACTGGCTGTTCTTGCAGAATACCCAGGTTCGAATCCTAGCACCCACATGGTGGCTAACAACTGTTCATAAGTCCAGTTCCAGGGGATCCAATGCCCTCTTCAGTCCTTTGATCACACTACATGATATGGGTGCACTTACACACGAGCAGGCATAATACTTATACACATAAAATAAAAACAAATAAATTTTAAAAACATTTTTAAATTATTTATTTAATAACCACATACTTAGAAGAAGCATTTCATTACATCAGTAATGACATATTCAATAATAATTTTCTGAGCTAAAGTTATACAATATTGTACTCAGTATAAACCCTATAAGACATAAAATTAAATGAGGTTTTAACCTTTAAAAAAGATCTCTATTTCATTATTAAAATATACAGTTTCATACAGAAAACTTAATTTTTAATTCAATTGACATTAAGATGTTTTCACATACATTTCTAATATCTATATATCAGATTATTACTAGTCACAGTCAGTTACTTTCTGAGCTCCTTGTCATCTGAGCATGGATACAAAGTCATCAGGTAGATTTCAATGGTAATGTTTTTCACATCTACTAATTATTAAGGAGAAAATTTTTATGCTTTGAAGAATTATTTTTTAATCATATTTTTTTTTAATTTTTAATAACTACATGATTAGAAGCTTTACACTACAGCTTTAACATATTCAGTAACACACCACAGAGCAACAGTACATCTCTTTCACAAGTGAGTGCAAGTTTCTGGGTTCACAGTTGAATTAATCTAGTTATATATTATTGAACTCAGTATAAGCCCTGTAAGACATAAAATTGCATGTTTTTAACCTTTAAAAAAGATCTCAATTTCATTTTAGAATATATTGTTCCTTGCAGAAAGACTCATTATTTTTGCTACTAATACTGAGATGTTGGCACTTGCATCTCTGATCTGTATGTATTTGATTAATATTAGTCATAATCGGTTGCACTTGGATCCTTGGCGCCTGTGTATGTCTAAAAAGTCATCAGGCAGAAGAAACCAAAACTGATGGTGACAACTCTTACTGGATTACTTACAGTCACATTTATTATATTAAAATTGGGAATTCCTGGTTTACAGGCAATAAGCTCTTTATACACCCTACAAGCCTTCCTGAAACAACAAACCATACAATGTAAATTCATGTTTTCATGCAGGAAACTATGCGTGTATTAGTTATTTACACTCTGTATTTCTTTCTCCGTTATCAGGTTCACTGACTATCCAAGACTTATTTCACTGTCATATCTGAAAGAGAGCCTTGGTAGAGTATATTTAAGAAGTGGAATTCAAATCTACTTCAAGTATGAGAGTTACTAAGGCATGTATGATAATTCAGATATGA